ATTATAATGTTTGTATGATTTCCAAGAAAATGGTATCCGAAACCGTTTTTCTTATAGTGTTACCTCTCCTTATACACCAAAGAAACCATAGAGCCATATATTGATTCTGAGACCAAATCAGGTAGTTGTTAGTTGTTACACACTTTAATCCATTTTACAAATTGATCAGGAAATCTCATATTTGTCATCAGTCAGAACATATGCGTCCATTAAATGGAGTCAACTCCAGTCATAAGATCAACCTTGATAGGCAATGAGATGAGAGAGCCCTACAATGAAAACTACTTACCAACTCCTGCCCCATTAGTATGTTGTCCACTGATAACGGTTGCCAGCACCTCCCTCAACCTCTTTGTTAGAAGCTTAGAAATCATTTTTTTAGAGGAGGTTAATGGAACTAGAACAAGACAATAAGCTTAGTAGTACATAGAAGTGTTTTGTTTCGAATTGAAACTAAGGCCTTGTTTAGTATGCAACAATACTAAATGGACCCCAAGTAGAGGAAGAGGAAGAATATGACAATGGAGCAAATGGTTCGATTAGTTGGATTTGAACGTTAAAAGTGGTCTGGGCCAAACCAGACTAAGGCCACTTCTATCTCTTTTAGTTTGTACTTCCCTTTGTGACTTAAGGCTTAAGTCCCAAAACTTTCAAAAAACCAAATCCCTCCCAAATATTCCGCAATGTTTTCAATCAAGAACATAAAAAGTAAACAGAGTCAGCATAGACAACTCTAATTTCCTTAGTATGAAAGACAAGAAATCTTCAACTGGAAGTTCAAGGTACTGAATGAATAACACATATATCTTTATTAACGGGGTTCACCCTATTTCTTATGTCTCGGTTCAAGGATGTCTGCCCTTAAAACCTATATCACTAGGATCTAGAACTTTTATTACTGATGTTCTAATCTCAAGTTGAGCTCATTTAGGTAGAGCTCAAAACCTTTATAGTGGTGGTGGACAAATATAACTCATGCTCTCACAAGCTTTACAACTAAAGGAATCCCTCACACTCACAAAGATGCTCAAGCAATTATAAATTAGCTCTGAACAACAAGAACTAAACAATCACTCATCACAGATGACTATTTGTGATATGCTGCTTTGCATACTTTCACACTCTTGAACCCCGCCCTCTATTCTGTTGGTATCCTTTGCATTTTTCAGCATTCAGCATCCATCTTTGATTCATTGGTTCACCTTTCAAATTCTTTCCTACAAAGGTTGGTAAAGTTATTATGATTGTTAGAGAATTACTTGATTGATGAAGGTAAAGAAAGGAAAAGAGTTGTCAACAGTTAATACATGATATTGGTTGGAAGTCTTTGAGTCGATCCGATGTATGAATCTTCGGGCATGATGAGACTATAATCGAGGTGTCCAAAATTAATGTCACGCATTAGTGCCTTGAATTGACTGGGGCTTATATATAATGAAACTAAGAAATAAGGTGGATAAAATGAAAATTAATCTTTTTTTTTATAACTTACCTAGAATTTATTACTAATGAAATTTTATTTTTTATAATTTGTCTTGATTTTATTGTTTGAGTAATGTTGGGTGTCAAATTACAATCAGCTAAAAGTTGAGGGAATAAAAAGATGGACGGTAGCGATAACCGGATCTGCGTGTCCTCTCATCTGCAGTTGAGCTTGGCCATTACATGCGCCACTTCATTTCAAAATGAAAATTTATCTGAGCGAGAATTTACACGAATACTGCAAACAGTGGCAGATCCAGGGGATGGCCACCCCGGGCCACGGCCCAGCCCTCCTCTGGATCCGGAGCTTGAATAGTCTTTGTGGATTTTTCGATTTAAGTATTTGGTCCAGTGTTATTTTATAATAAGATTGTGTGTAATTAGAAAAATGGTTGAGATGAACACATTCAAATCACTACTCTAAATTTATCCTACAAATTCTAGCCCCAAAGACTTTCGTCTAAAAAAACAATGAAAACTAAAATTCTAAAAATCTAAAGCGTAAAGACTAAAAGAAATATAAGGTTTGTTTCATTGGAGAAATTACTAGAGCAGCTGGTGGATATAGAGATGGACACACAATGCAAGTCGATTAGTCGATTGATTTGTCTAGTATTGACGCTGCCCGTTTCAACGACTACTACAGAGAGAACTTTTTCAACAATGAAACATGTGAAAACTGATTTGCGCAACAAATGAGCGATGAATTTCTTGCCGATTGTTTAACTATTTTAATTGAAACAGAGTATGTCATTGGTATGAATGTAGACTCCATTATTGATGCATTCGCTGAATTAAAAGACCGTCGTATACAATTGATATTGTATAAAAAAGCTATGATCATTATTTTTAATGAAATGCGGCCCAGTGCTCTATTTTGTTCTGAATCCGCCATTTACTGCAAATATTATAAAAAGGCCAAATATTAACCTGTTATCCGCCAACGGGATAGGTATTAAGCTAGTAGTCTAAAAAATAAAGGATATTATATAGTGGGACATTATATGGGTGCTTTTGTCAGCAACCTGGGCATCTGTTCCATCACCAGTGCCGAACTCAAAGGAGTTGCATAAGGTCTGACATTGACATGGAATATGGGCCTCAAGAAGGTTCACATGTGTCTTGATTCCACGACCGCTATCAATATCGTCAAGAACTCTATGGAGGAAGATCATAGACATGGTCTGCTTGCCAAGCATATCCATGGACCTTTGAATAGAAAACAGGATGTTAGAATTTCCCATGTCTTTAGGAAAAGTAATTTTGCAGCCGGCTACTTAGCTAGAGTTGGGCATGAGTTTCCTTTGGGCACACATTCATTCGATGTGTGCGACCCGAAACTTTGCTATTGGCTCTCGTATGATCTAATAGGTATCTCTCATGATCGTTTAATCTATATGAACTACGATGATTCCCATCCACTTTCTACCCAAAAAAATAATAATAATGAGCTAATAGTCTAATGGGTTATAAGTATAATATGTCCCTCTACTAATTTTTACATCAAACGTGCCCTTATGTTAAAATTTCCATTAAAAAATGGTTAATCACGGCTGAACCGAGATTCACAAGACTCGACATCGGGGAAATTGGGGGTGAAATGTCAATTTTTCATCCTCGTTTATTTCTCCGGGTATCGTTAAATTGAAATTATTAGAGGTATTTGGCTATAAAAAAAAGAAAAAAAACAATTCTAAAGTGAAATTATTATGAATATTTTAGATATAGGTGTCACCCAAACCAAGGTTCGGCCATGGTTGATGATTTTTTATGCAAATTTTAATAGAAGGGCATGTTTGATCACTTATACAAACTATAGAGTGACATGTTTGATAAAACTACATAGTATAGAGGCAAATGATACCTATAACCCTAGTCTAATACCAAACATCAAGTTCAGCACGATTCCATAATCAATAGTATGGTGCCAGGGGGATGACAGGCTGTGGCCACCTCCACTTGAGAGATCTCTGCAAGTGTAATGTTTTAAATGTCAAGAATCTGATGAAAGAAATCTAAGAATTTTGGGGACTGATAACCAAATACATCCAGAATTTCCTGTAGATACCTCAACCCAATTTCAATTCTAAACTCTAACAAAATGTCTCACCCCAACCCACATATTACGTCCGCGTGAAGAGGCAGAATCGGTTGTTTGTTCAGGAGGGTCTGGTGGTGAGAAACAAACCGGCGATTGAGGTTGTGATCGGAGATCAATGAACTCCAATGCTTGCAGACGTTTTTGATGATCATGAAAAGAGGAGGGTTTGCTTCTAATCGGCTTCGACGACCTTGCTTCCTACTGATCGGCGGTGGAAAAGCAACGGATTCAAGAAAGCGGGGGCGACGATTGTAGGCAAGCTTGGGATTACAGTTAATTAAGGGACATAGGGGTCGTTTGGAAGTTGCGATTGTTAAATAGATGTATTGTTGAGAATGCATGTGTAATATTATACATGTATTGTCGAATTTGATGCATTGTAGAATACAATGTTTGGTATGTGTGATTGTGTATGTCGCATCAGCTAAAAACTGAGACAAAACAATCTCAACTCAACTATCTCAACAATCACAACTAAAAGTTGAGATATAACAATCACTCAAAATGAGTGATAGTTTCTGTCACATCAGATATAACAATCACTCCAAAACCACCGCCACCACTATTCCTCTTCTCTAGAGGTGGCAATTGGATCGGATTCGTGGATTCGTGGATTGGATTGGTGGATCCATGGATCAAATGGATTGGATCCAATGGATTGGTGGATTCATGGATTGGATCAAATGGATTTGTGGATTGATCCATGAATCCAAATGACATCCAAGGCTTGGACCAAAATGTAAAATCTGAAAAGTTTAGGTACTAAAATGTCATAATGAAAAATTTTAGGTACCAAAATGTAATTTTCCAATGATATTTTTCGTATAAAAATATAAATTTTAGGTACCAAAATGTAAAATATAAAAAATATAGGTACCAAATCGTAATTTGCCATTTGGATCCATGGATTGATCCATGAATCCACCAATCCAATTGGATTTGGATCAAATGGATTGGATTTAAATGGATTGGATTAGGTGGATAATTTGGTGGATGGATTGGATTGGATTCATGGATTTGGATCCTAATTGCCACATCTACTCTTCTCTAAACTCATTACACGCCCAATTGCAATAAGTTGGGTTTTTGGGAGGGCAGACGGGTGGTTGAATTTTTAATTTTTATGAGTTTTTTTTTTATGCCGTGGAGGGTTTTTATGATGTGGCGAGTCAAATTTCAATTTTTAAAATTTAAAATTAGCTGATTAGACTTTTTTTAGTTACGTCAGCAAAAAAAACTGACGTCGTTAATAGAGACTAATTGAAGTCAAAAAAAGTGATTAAATATGAAATATTTAACTAATTTTAATAATTATTATTAAAATTAAATATTTTTAGTGACCAAACATGAATTTGTTTAGTAATCTCAATGACCAATCTTATCATTTACCCGTACCTATTTCTGAAAGAAATTGATAGCTCAGGTTTTGAATAACGGCCAGTTCTCAATTCAGCTTTGCCAGTTCACTGCAAGCGTAGTTATCGAAGCCAACGGCTGCGATTGGTGGCCAATACGCCGTTCGGAGACTGAGATAGTTACGCCCTCTGGTCCGGCGACGAGAGTGACGGACGTCGGAACTCTCAGGCCTGACTCTGGTTTGACTTGCCGGAAAGCTGCTTCAAAGGTTGGAATTTCTCGCGTCTTAATTGGCGTGAATCACGAGGCTGATTGTATTCGGCGGCAGCTTAGAACGATGAGTAAGGGGGGGATTTCTTTTTTGCTCTGTTCCGGTAACTGAATTTGATCGGATTGTGATTGTCTATTGCTTTGTTCATGTATAGAGAAAAATGTGTGTGCATTTCGTTTCCAGGCTATAGTTTCAGGGCTAATGTAGAATCGTTGCTGATTTGCGACATTGAAATCATTGAAATGACCTAATGGGTGTGCTGACCAGATCACCGATTGCCATTTAACAGCATTTAACGTCTAAAGCTTGCCCCTTTCATTGATAATTATGTGCACTTCGCTGATGAAGAATTAATGTTACTTAGGTTGCTTGCAGTTTCAGGCTTGTATTAGATGGTGATAGTGAAATTGTATTTTCCTGTTTCACCATGTTGTCAAGAAAGTATAATGTGTGTCGTTGGACGATGTGTTGAGCCAAAATGAAACCCCTTTCTTCTTACCTTCCATCTTTCTATCAAATGCATGGAACACGGCTTTTTCTTAACGGTCTTTGTATAGATAATGATATTCTTGATGCTGCAAAACCGTTGCTTAAGTTGCACATTATCAATCATTAATCTGCTGTCTGATAGTCAAAGTGCTCAGGAAGTAGTATCCTATTTCAAGTTATCATATGAGAATACTTGTTCATGCAGGTAGCTTAGGAGTTTGTAACTTCAAAGGCTTCAAGTTTGACGTGGTTGGACAAAGGGATGGCAATTTCAGCCGGAAAACTTGCATTAACAAATGGGTCAGAATGAGGCCTCTACAGTATGCCCCTCTACCTATCTCATCCAAACCAAAGAAGGGGTTGAGAATAAGCAACAAATTGTCTATTGAAACAGATTGTACGTTCCTTTATCTTACTAGCTTGGATTACCAGTAAAAAAAAATCTTGGATTACTATGTTTCAGCCTCACCCCTTATGTTATCAAAGTGATCAACGTTGGCCGCTTTTACATAAGTACATGTCTAATTTAATGCTGTTATTGTAGCTGGTTTAAATGCAGTAGATGGCTCTGAAGAATCAAAGTCATTAATTAAGAGAAGCTACCAAATTCCCAATTTATCTGAGGTAATTATCTTGCTTATTGGACTGTCTCAATGTAGGGTCTTGGTGTTACATGTTCAATTGAGTGATCGTTACCACTAGTAAACTCCTGAAGCACATATGTGGCCTAATGATGATATATGACAGCTTTGTATAGATTACTTTTTAGTTATTGTGTACAAAAACGTGATTCTAATACTGGTTTGGGGAACATTTTGCCAGTAGATTAGTAGGATCTATCTATAGGGCCCGTGCAATAGACCGCTAATGTGAAAGATGAAAACTGGATTGAAGAAACGCGCTGATTGGTTTCGATCTTATTTTGAACAAAAGCCTCGTAGTCGTCAAGCTTTGGTTTCTTGATTGAAAACCTCAGCTGACTGTTCTCACGGAGAGTAGGATTTGTGGTTACAGGACGGAATGGAAACAGAGTTTCTTAGTTATCTAGTAGCTGGTAGAAGACAAACTGCCATTATTATATAATCTTGTTTTCTTGTCTCACACTAGGAGAGAGTTTATCCTAGGGTTTATGCATCAATGTAAGGTCTCAGCCTGGAAAGAGAAAAAGAAATTTGATATGTGTTCTTTTCTTACAATTAAATTGATATATGTGTGATGTAATTGATCTGCACACATGTTTGCTGACAAGTTGCGCGTAATGGATACTCTCCTCTTTCAACCTTTCTGGCATATTGCTGTTATCTCTATTCAAATTGAACCCATATATTTAACTGTGTTTGCATGATATATCATATATGCAATCAGTTTATATCCCACAGTTGGGTGCACCAGCATCTGTCTTCAGAACTTCTTTTCCTTTGTGCTTTCATCCTGGTCATGCATAATCTTGAACAATAAAGATAACATAGAAAGCCTTTTCTAATTTTGTGCAGATTAAATCTCTGGTCTCTGAAATTTGTGACACAAATTCGATTGCAGAAGTTGAGTTAAAAGTAAGAAAGCAACCCTTAGCTAGTTTCTATCGATTCTTTTATCAATGAGATGCTTGCTTCTATGTCTCTGAAAAGGGAGCGATTTAGTTGTGATGTATCTTCTTAATGTTCATTGTCTGCTCAATTGCTAGCTTGGCACACTTCATCTGCATGTGACCAGAGACTTGACTGAGAAGGCTGAACCTTCTGTTCCTCAAACAACTGTAGCTTCACCTGCTGCTGTCAATGTTGGTGCAACTATTGAGGCAGGTAGTTCTAATGGATCTGTTCCCAGTACAGCACTAGTTGTCTCCAAAGAAGCCTCCCCATCTCCAGAAGGAATTAAGCCATTTCTGGATAGAGCTGCTGACGAAGGCATAGTGATTCTACCGTCCCCAAGGGTGAGAAAAAGTGGAAGCACGATAAAGAGCAACACACTTTAGGCCATTTAAAGTCTTGCTTGTTTAAATTGGTGTTGCTAAAATTAGATCACTTTGCGCAGGTGGGTGTGTTCCAAAGATCTCGAACTATAAAGGGAAAACGCACTCCTCCTGCATGTAAAGAGGTATCCTGCTTTTGAGGGTGGTTAATTTTAAACCATTTGTTTACATCTCATTGTACCAGCAAGCTTTGACTGCTCCAATGAAGTCTCCTAACATAGTTTTTATTCTTCCCTACAGAAGCAAATCGTGAAGGAGGGACAAGTGCTTTGCTACGTACAGCAACTAGGGGGTGAAGTTCCAGTTGAGGTATGCTTTCCCCACTGATTTATGGGCTCGTTTGGAACCTCCCATTCAGATGTTGTATTCTCAGTATACATGTATCCAGGGAATACAACGATTTTTGACTTGATGTAATAATAGAATGCTTGTATTCATAATACATGTTGTATTCCTAATACATAGAAAATGATGTATTCATAATCTTACCTTTTTGGTGAGATTTGAGTATCCATAGTTCATTTAAACTATAATCCATACATTCTTTTATGGGTTCCAAACAATAAATTTTCAAAACCACACATTCTTAGTATACACATAATCGTTAATACACACATTCTCGTAATACATCATTTTCAGAATCAAAGGTTCCAAACGACCCCATGTTTCTTTTTATAAGATTCATTGGAATTTCGCCTTACCTTTGTTTTTGCGCCTTTCAGTCTGATGTGTCCGGAGAGGTAATCAGAATACTGCGGAAGGAAGGAGGTAACTTGTTTCAGAAGATTCATCCTTGTACAATATTACCATGATTAGTTTAATCTATATGCTCTCTGGTAATGAAATGAATAATTAACATCGCGAATTTTTTCATGTAAAACAGAAGCTGTTGGATATGGCGATCCACTGATAGCGATTCTTCCGTCATTTCCTGGGATCAAGAAACTTCAGTAGAGTAATGTGTTGAACTGTTCCAATACGATTCATTTTTTTATTGAAGCCTTGAATTGGCCAGTTCGGTTTTGTCAGCTCCATGATACCACAATGGTGGTGGTTTGAAGGCATAGAATTTTCACTTTGTTTTTGGTTCGGACTTCGGAGACTCTGAAACGAAACTGATGGCACAGTTAGTTGTGTACATTCTCTCTGGCAACCTATTGGTTGTACATTGCCTTTCTTGTTATTATACTTGTGCATATTTGCTACATTTCCTTTATAGTTTGATCTGTTGGATATTTTCCGCCTTCCAGCGATTTTGAAGCTATATTGTTGGGGTTTGCAGCAAATTTAGCTAAATCACCTTGTTAGCTACAATTTGAGTATAACCCGGTAGGCTTTACGATGTTTTACTGACGTATTTCTGTTTCATGCACATGGCAGTCAACTGGATGTGCTTTCACGTCCCCCCATTCAGCAATCAAGCTGGATTTAGTCAGAACAGAATCGATACATTCTAAAATGTTACTGTTTATAGAGATTCCAAAATGTTACTGTTTATAGAGATTCCAAAATGTGAAATTATCCCTGCAGAACTTGAGCTTTTCAATATAGAGGATAAAAATCTCTAATAACCATCAAGACAATAAATCCATACAAGCTAATTCCATATTAAACATGCTTATAAACAAACAAACTCCAAAATAACTTAATGACAACACCGATCTCCACGAATACTGCAACTTATGAACTGCATTTTTACATATTCCCTTGTTACAGCAACCAACGTGGATTTCGTCATGCCAACTTTCTTCGACGTCCAAAAACTAACCAGCGGCGGCTCAACCAGGCAAGCAAACCATGAACCATGTTGGAAAATTACAAGCATACACAATACACATCCAATGGCAGTTGAATGACCCTTCTGTATCAGTGTCGATTACCCACGCCAGCTGAAGCTCTTTGACCATGGGATCCAGATGGACCATGTAAGCTCTTCTGCTGTGGTGACACACTTCCTCTGCCACCAGGCGATGATACTTGGACAGGTGACCTGCTGCCGGCTGGCTCACCATTCTGTGCCATCTCTTTCTCCAGAAACTTGGCCTCATCAGCGAGCAACGCCAGCTGTTTTCATAACCCAGTGAGTCAATAGATATCACAGCACTACTATAACATATAACCAAGGGCCATGCATGGACATTTATCACAATGACATACCCTAACTTCATTCTCTCGTAAGCGATCCTGGAGGGCACTTATAGCAGGACTCAAGCTGTTCAATTACATTAACCCAAGTACGTCATGCTAAACACCTAATAGTAATTGGCAAATGAACTAAAAGAACTGAAGCTTTATGTGTCTCACCAGTACTCGATCAATTTACAAAGGGAAGCTTGATAAGTAGAGGTTTGGTGAATGAACGCGAGGGGATTTACTTTTCCATTCCTTGAGAAAAACAGACCAAGTACAGAGAAAATGGTGAAGAACAGTTCAAACAAGTACATAGTAGGGATATTAAGAATCAATGATAAGTAAGTGCATCAGGTTGTGAGGATTAGTACCTCAAGTTCTGGGTGATGGCTTGACTATAAGCCCCTCTTTCCTCTTCAAATAATACACGTTGTAAATCAGTCAAGGACGTTAAAGGTGAATCGAGATTGAGAAGAGACCAAGTGGGTAAAACTTGAAGAGTAATTTCTTTCCTTATATACTCTGCGCCGCTGCCAGAAGTAATTAAATTAAATACATTTAACCATCAACAAGTTGGGGAAGGAAAACAAATTATGTAAGCCTTTCATTATGAACACAAACAAGAGAAGGTCAAAAGAGAAAATAACCAAAAGTATACCTCATGTCCATATTAGAGCGGTGCATAGCTTCTTGCATCCCTTCTGACATATCCATGGGGTCAATATCAACAACTGCAATGTCCAAATTTGCTGTGGGGCCACTCGATCTAGAACTCCCACCTCCAGAATAACTGGCATCAGCATTTGCAAAGAAATCCCCCAACTCGGAAGGTCTTCCTGTACCCTAGTAAATAAAAACCATTTCCTCAGATCAAGGATAAGGATAAAGAAAAGTTCATGCAAACACCATATGCTGCCACCTGGAACAGTTTGCCACCAATAGGTAACTAATTCTTACTGAATAGGGCAAGCTCAACTGAGAGCAGCAACCAAATACAGTGAAAATATATTCAGTAGCCAGAAACAAACCAAAACATCATTGAGACCTTTCACATGTTATTCACAGGATTTCAACACAGATTACCAAGCATGTAGACAAGTAAATACTTCAGAATTAAATTTCAAGTCCCAGCTTCAAGGAACAAAAAAACGCAATACCTTCAGGGATGCTGCTACTAATTTGGAATCACCAGTGTCTTGTTCAGGGCTGTCACCTCTACCTGACCCAGATTTCACTAATGCGTTTTCTGAGGTGCTTAGCGATGATTCAACGTCTATATAACTTTTATTTACAACTGATACCGGTATAGGCCCTGATATATTATTCTGCCTCCCATCTGATGACTGGAATGCAATTACCTGGATTCTTCCAACCTGAAAGGAAAGCAGAAACAAATATCCTTTAGCAAAGATACAATATATATTTGAGAAGAGCACGAACAAATTAGCACGTGCAAAGCAAATACCTTATTTGTGTCTTCACTGAAACAAGAAAATATTAAACCAATAAATCCAGGATCCAAAAGTTGATACATAGCCTGAGTCCGCACATCTGCAAAAGTTGATAATTGCCTTAAAATTCCAGCCACCACAGGTTCAAAACTAAAAAGCTGCAAGTCATTGATCATCCAAACTACACACAGCAGTCTAAAGATCTTTTCCAAAAATAAAAATCTGCAAGTCCCTGATCATGAAAACTAGACAATAACCTAGACACACGTTTCCATAAATTATAGTTATTTTCTCTGTTAGTTAACACTTTATAAGGTAACCAAGTATTTGATTTTGTTATTCAAAAGATAGCATATTTGTATTTCTGTTGGTCGTGTCATTCTTACACTTCATCCAGTAACTTTTGTGTTATCCACATAAGGAGAATTAACATTCAAACCCACCTAATGTGAGAGAGAAATCTATCTTCCTAGCATTGACAGAAGAAGACTAGTTGCCCTCACAACCAGACTTTGATTACTTATGGTCCTATCGAACAGAACATGCTTACCAACATGAGAAGGAAGCACTGTAATATGAGGATGTGAATGGTACCACCCTATCACTCTTGTTGTTTTACCTGTCGTTGCAGTCATCCTGTGCTGTGAAGTTAATGGGAAACCTTGGCAAAATAATCATTGACAACCCTGATTGCATACTTCTAAAAGCCTCATACTTAACCAAATAACACATCAATTAGCGGTAGAGAAACCTAGGATGTAGAGCTCCAAATAATACTAAGAAACATATCTCTCGCATTTAAGCATACAAGACTCACAAAGCTATCCTAGCATTCAATCGATATGTGAAATTTTTCAGAGCACACTTCAATACTTGGCAACCAGACTAATAGCAAGTAAATTTAGCACAAGGAAAATGTCACAAAATAAGATTAACGATAAGGATATCTCAGCCTGGGCAGATGCAGCAGCCAACTGCTCCGGATTGGTCTCGACCCTGTCCTTTCGGCGATCAGACCGTGACTGAGGTGATGCTCCCCAAATAAGTGCGTTCACTCTGCCATTTTTCAAGTACTGACATTCCATTAATTAGCATGAATTGCAATTCCTAAAACCGAATTGGCAAAACAATAATCACCCAAACCAACAACAATCATCAGCTGGAATTCAACAGAAGTTGATTCAGTTCAAAACCATGCATTCTGAGAAAGTTAACGGCCGTTCATAATCATATATTCCCCCTAGTTAACCCCACTAGGGTACCTAAGGCTCAATCGATCGGCTTCAAACGAAGAACCGCAAAGATTCACGAGCCAAAAATCACAAGGTAAGTGGACAAGAAGAAAAGATGTAAGATAGAATGGGAAACCTCAATATCGCCGAGGAGAAGGCCCATGATCTCCTCGGTCTCGGTAGACAAGGCGTGGGTGAGACAAGTCAGCCACACATCCTCCGACATCCTCACGCCTGTGAGAGACATACTTCCTCTCGCTGAAACTGTCTGGTAATGTTCCGATGAATCTGGTTAAGGTTTTCCGGGGATCCTATACCAGGGTTTGTGTTGGAACAAGCTTTTGGCTAGGATTGAGAGAAGCATTCGGGTGGGAGCCGAATTACGGGCTGGAGCAGCAGCTGGACTTTCGAATTTCGATGCTACAGAGAGACAGGAACCAACAGTTCGCAACTCGATCGACTCGGAACCAAAGTTGTCAACCCGCGGGTTGACCCACGGGTCGACCCAATTTGACCCTGACCCGGTGAGAAAAATGGGTCGCACGGACCCGCCGGGCCGACCGCTATAAGGTACCGGGTTGGAGGTCAAATTGTATCATTTTTTTCTTTAGTTTGCGAAATGCGCCTATTTTCCAATTTTTCTTTTCGCCTAACTCAATCTTTGGAATACTAAGTTGAACATTTGAATATTTATGTTATATAAGTGTGTGTGAATTTTCACTATAGGTTGGATCTAAGTACGATATGTTATTTTGGTGTAATATTATATATTATAACTCATATGTTAGATAAGATTTGATATAATTTATGAGGATAAGTACAATATAATGACTCTTTCTATATTTCCGGGCCAAACCGGGCTAAAACGGTTGACCCATCAACCCTTGACCCACTAGCTCAACCGGGTCCGGGTCAACCCGCGGGTTGACAACCTTGCTCGGAACGCTTTTAGATAATTGTATATTAAGGGATAATGGTATTTGTGGTACTTGTATTGTGGTATTCGACCAAACCGATACATGTATTAATAGTTTTAACAAACAGGTCCACGTCTTTTCCATTGAAGTATTTACTAAGCATCAATGTTTCTTTACGCGCCAAATCCACAGCTTTGGACAGAGCATATAAACTATTGTCTCACAAGTGAATGCATCAATGTTCTTCTACAACTACGTGATAGATAGATGATACCCTCTGTTTTTTAGCGGTGGAAAAGGGAGGAAAGGGATATAGATAGATGATACCCTCTGTTTTTTAGCGGTGGAAAAGGGAGGAAAGAGAAGGAAAGGCGGGAGATCACTGCTCAGTTTAGTCTTGTTGTAGTTTTTGGAGAAGCAGCTTCTATCTTAAGTTTTTAGAGAAATACTTTTCAAAAAAAGTCGTTGAGTGTTTGGCTGAAAAACTATTAGAAGTGCTTTTAATATGAGAGGTTGTGTAAAATTACTATAAATGACTTGTAATATAAATTATGAATAATAATTCTAAACAATAAAATGTAGTCAAAATGGATCTTATTAGACTTCTTTTATATTAAATAATATAATTTTATCATTTATTTTATTTTTAAAATGATAAAATTAAATAAAATTATACTTTCTAAAATAAAATTAAAATATGGTAAGAATAATCTTTTATTTTAAAAACAACTTTTCGCAGAAGCTCCAAATCGGAGCTGCTGCTTTTATGTTATACAAAAGCGTTTTTGGCTTTTCAAAAGCCGAGCTTTTAGATATGTTTGGCTCTGCTTCACCTTTTGAACTCGAAAAACACTTCTAAAAGTCGGGCCAAATATAGGCCACATATTCCAAAAACTTTCCTCGTTTCCAAACGTAGCTACAGTATGGAGGGGACGAAAAATGAGAAGAAACTTCGTCCAGTTATATCAAATATTATTTGAAATTAAAAAAAGAAGAAAATTGCCCGACTTTTCCAGAGCGACGATTTTTTCAGCGACTTCGAGGGTTCCTAGGGTTTTCTGCTCACAATGGCGGCGACTGCGTCGTCCACCTCGGGGGAGCCACTGAAAAAGGCTCCGGACATCAGTGGGGCTCGGCGTCCTCCGACAGCGACCTCCTCGCCGGATGGAAAGAGCGAGAAGGAAACTGTTCAGGTGAAGAAGAGAGTAAGACCGCTTAACCTGGATCAAGAAACGGGAGGTTTGGAGGGTGTCTCGACATTGGAGATGGAAACTGATGGTGGAGCTGCTCCGCAGTCAGGGTCTGATGGGGGGCCAAGGAAAAAGAAATACCGAAATGAACATGGAACAACGGGAGATCGAAGTTGTTCAGTGAAGTGGTAACTGATGACAGATGGTATGTGGCGAACTCGGATTCTGAAGATGTTATTCAGATGGATAGGGAGGAAGATGAAGAGCTGGATGAAGAGAACCATGACCCTACCTGTCCTCCAATCCTATATACGGCAGCTCAAAAACATAAATGGAGGCGGGAGTGGAGGTCTGCGTTGGTTGTCAAAGGGCTAGGAAGGAGGGTATCATATGTCCCTTTGGCCCGCAGGCTAAACTCCCTATGGGCACGACATGGAGACCTCCAGTTATCATATATGCAGAATGGGTGCTTCCTGGTCAGGTTTCGGGACAAAAGAGTCTATGATTTTGCCACGACGGGTGGCCCTTGGACTATTGGAGACACCTATTTAACGGTTCATCGTTGGTTCAAAGGTTTTAACCCATGGACCACGAAAATAAAGACAACAATGGTATGGGTTCAACTGCCGGCAATCCCCGTAGAATTCTATAATCGTGAAGCGGTGATGATGATAGCTGAGAAGATTGGGAAACCTGTGCGAGTGGATAGGGCAACTAAATTGGGCGCTCGAACCAAGTATGCAAGAGTGTGTGTGGAAGTTGATCTAATGAAGCCACTCCTTGGGAAGTTTAGCATTGAAGGAAAGAAGTATCTGATTCAATACGAAGGTTTGGAGAATATATGCGATCAGTGTGGCTCGTATGGCCAACCCGTAGGACAATGCCAATGCAAAAGCCCAGACCCGCAGCCGCATGCTGATGAAGTAATAATGGTTGAAGAAATACAGGAGGAAGATCCGAGCAAGGGACAGGCTTTTGGTGAGTGGATGACGGTGAAGAGGAAGGAGCGCAAATTAACTAGGAGAAGTGTTAACCGTGTGACAAATAAATTTGGATCCAATCGACCCGAACATAATGGCAATAAATTTGCCTCTTTGAACCACGTATAGGAGGAGTTGCATGGACATGGAAGTGCGGAAGCTACTGTAGTCAACGAAGAGGAAGGGAGGAAGACTTTGCAGAAGGAGAACGTGATTAATAAAGAAGCTTTCAGTGGTAAAAAGAATAAGCCACCTGGCAAGGAAGATAGTGGGAAACAAATGCCCAAAGGGGGTAAGGGCGGATGCGGCCCAGCTGAAAGCTCCTCAACATAATCGCCCCATCGTTGTTGACAAGAATGAAAGAAACGGGACACTGATGGGCACCAAAGAAAAAAAGAATTTGGGTGATGGCAAAATGAAGGTCCAAGCTTAGAATAGTAACAAACCTGGTGAGGAACAAGGCGCAGTACAGATAGAAGCGGGGAAACTCACTAAACCAGCTAAAGCTCTTAACAACAATTCGTCAAAGAATGGTGCGGGGAACCGATCCCCTTCGAGTCATCAATGAGAATCCTTAGTTATAACTGCCGCGGTTTGGGGAAGAAGCGTGCAGTTAAATCACTTGATTCACTTCTGAAACGAGTTTCCCCACAATTAGTCTTCTTAATGGAGACTAAACAAACGAAGGATGAAAACGTAGTTATGAGGCGAGAATTGGGGTTTGAGGAAGGAGATAGTTGGTCAACTGATCGTTCTCGTGGAGGACGGGCGGGTGGAATTAGCTTATGGTGGCAGGAGGGTTTAAACGTCACTATTATGTCAATATCCTTTAACCATGTTGACGCAAAGATTATAGAAGAGAATGGGGCTACTTGGCGGTTCTCTGGCGTATATGGCTGGCCGGAAAATCATGAAAAGTATAGAACCTGGGAGCTGATCGATCGATTGGCACAACAATGGTCGGGAGCTTGGCTTTGTTGTGGAGATTTTAATCAGGTGCTTGTACCAGCTGAAAAATCAGGTGGGAGAGTAGTGACGGACCAGGAGATGTCCGATTTTCAAGCCTGTCTTTCTCATGCTGAATTAAATTACTTGGGGTTTAAAGGGTGGAAATTTATCTGGGAGAATAGACGTGCTGGCAGTAACTTTATTCAAGAGAGGCTAGACTGTTTTACTGCTACAGAAGAGTGAAAATCTCTATTCACTAAGGCGAAAGTAACTCATCTTGCTAAGGACCGATCGGATCATCGTCCAATCTTATGTGATACGATGGGGGAGGAGGATGAGGAGCCCCGATGGGGCTGGGCCTTTCGTTTTGATCCCTTTTGGACGAGATATGAGGACTGCCGAAAAACAGTAGAAGAGGCATGGTCTCGGCCGGGCCAAGAGGACTGTTTAATAAAACTGCTTTTTTGTAGGTCTCAGCTAGAGTCTTGGAGTTATCGAGCTTTCCCAAACTTCCAAAAGCAAAAGAATCGAATTCGACGAGCTCTGGAAATGGTGGGAAGGTTGAACCGAACCCCGGTAGCGAGGGACCAGATTAAGCAATTAGAGAAGGAGTTGGACGAGGTTGAGAGCAATGAAGAAGCCTATTGGAAGCACCGATCAAGGGCTGACTGGTTAAAGGGAGGCGATCAGAACACAAACTTCTTTCATAGAAAAGCCTCAGCACGACGCCGCCGTAACACGATCAAGAAGTTGATGAACAATGATGGGAGCTAGGCGGTGGGACAGGAACAACTGTTCCAATGTTTAACTAACTACTTTAGTTGCTTGTTTACTGCAGGAGAGGAGCCGTCGGTCACTCCAGTACTAAACTCAGTCTCGAGCTCGGTAACTCCTACGTAAAATGCTGCACTTGATCACCATTTGACGGACAGGAAGTGATCACAGCTCTGAAACAAATGGGAAAGCGTAAGGCACCGGGAGCTGACGGTATGTTAGTTTTGTTCTTCAAAAAGTATTGGAACATCATAGGTAACGATGTTACGGGAATGGTGATCAAAATTTTGGAGACAGCAGAGATACCAGATAAGCTCAATCACACTCATATTGCCCTTATTCCGAAGGTGAAGAATCCCACATCGCCAAAGGAATTCAGGCCGATAAGTTTGTGTAATGTCATCTACAAGCTGGTGGCGAAAGTGTTGGCCAATAGATGGAAGTTAGTACTGGACCAGGTGATCTTCCCGGAGCAGAGTGCTTTCGTCCCTGGAAGATTTATAACGGATAATATCATGGCCGCTTTTGAATGTTTCCCCACCATGAAAAAGAAACAGAAAAGTGGCGGCCAGGGTCTATTTGCTGCAAAGATTGACATGGCGAAAGCTTACGACAGGGTGGAATGGAGTTTCCTGGAAAGGATGATGAGCCGGATGGGGTTCTTAGAAAAATGGAGTAGATTGGTAATGATGTGTGTAACGACAGTTTCATACTCTGTCTTGATCAATGGACATCAATCTCCGAGCTTCAAGCCAAGCCGGGGATTGAGACAGGGGGATCCCTTGTCGCCATACCTGTTCCTCCTGTGTGCTGAAGGCCTGTCTGCATACACAAAGGAGGCTGCAGGGAAGAAACAGATTCATGGCATCCAGCCGGCTCGGGGAGGTCCAATAGTAACCCATCTGTTTTTCGCTGATGATTGTGTTTTCTTTGGTAGGGCGAATGAACAGGAGAGTTTGGCATTGAAAGAGATTTTAAAGGCATATGAGAGGGAATCCGGTCAGATGGTAAGCTTTCAGAAGTCAGCAGTTTCCTTCAGTGGCAATGTTAACATGCACAAGAAGCTGTTGGTGGCCGGTACAATGGGAATGCAACTAGTCGAGAAGCATGAGAAATATTTAGGCTTACCAATAGTTGTGGGAAGGTCGAAGAAAGAAATATTTCAGGGGATAAAGGAGCGGGTGAGGAAAAAGATGAAAGGGTGGAAGGAGAGGATCCTTTCGGTTGCAGGAAGGGAAACTCTCATAAAAGCTATGGCCCAGGCACAGTTTACTTATGCAATGTCAGTATTCCGCGTCCCTAATAACGTCCTTGATGAAGTCCACAGTATGATCCTGAACTTTTACTGGAGGCAGAGAGGCACTGAACGACGGATCCATTGGGTAAGCACAGAAGGGATGTCGACATTGAAGGAAGAAGGATGCCTGGGATTCCGTGATTTGGTTGGTTTTAACACTGCCTTGCTAGCCCAACAATTGTGGCGGCTTTATCAACGAGAAGGTTCCCTCATTGCTCGCATTTTCCTGGCGACATATCATAAGAAGGAGTCGATCCTGGATGCTCGACTTGGCCACCATCCCAGCTTCATTTGGAGGAGCCTAATCAGCGCGCAAGAGTTTCTAAATGAAGGGTTACGATGGCGAATAGGTAATGGCTCCGGTGTGAGGATTTGGGGAGACAAATGGCTCCCTACGGAGTCGGCCAGCTATATTGATTCAGCGCCGAGAGGTCTGCCAGTGGATGCCACTGTTAGGGAGCTGATTTGTGAAGAGGAGGAGAGATGGGATGACAACCTACTGGAGAGCTGTTTCTCTACAACGACCGCAAACCTTATTCGCCAAATCCCCCTTCGTGATCTAGGGGAGAGGGATTGACTGATATGGGCAGGGAGTAAGAATGGGGATTTCACGGTCAGAGAAGGCTATAGGAAATAGGCGCAAACTAGAATCTTGAATGGGGAGTGGCCTCGGGTTGGAGAAGAGGAAGTTTGGAAGAAAGTGTGGTCAATCACAGTCCCGCCGAAGGTCAAGCATTTCCTGTGGAAATTTGCTAGGGATATCCTCTCTACGGGAGACCACCTTAGTGTGAAGAGTACGAGAAGAGGGGATAGGTGCGCTTTCTGCAATGAAAGAGAAACTCAGCTCCACTTTTTCTTCGACTGCCAGTGGATGTCAAGATTGTAGAGACAATCGCCTCTCACTCCTTGTTTCTCTATTCCAAACGACGGATCATGCTATGAGTGGCTTAAGAATGTGAAAACCTCGATGGACGACGAAACAGTAGGGGAATGGGCGGCTCTGCTATGGTTCTTGTGGAAGGAGAGGAACACTCACATGTTCAATGAGAAAAAAACTTGATGAAACAGAAATCATTCCCCGTGCACGGGCGTTTCTGTCGGATTATAAGCAGCACCAACAACAGAAGAGGGACGAAGTGCTGGTCGAAGGAGGTGGGAAGTGGATGAAGCCTAATTTTGGAATGATAAAGGTTAACACGGATGCTAGCATTATGGAGGGGGTCGGCGCAGGACTGGGAGCAGTGGTTAGAGATGCTGACGGGAAGTTTGTCTTTGCGGCGGCGAAACGAGTGTCGGGCGTCTGGTCGGTTGAGATGGCAGAAGCACTAGCTGCGGAATTCGGCCTTCAGCTTGCTCTTCAACTGCAGGTCGGGATGCCGATCCTTGAATCGGATTGCTTGAACCTCATGAGTATTCTCCATGACGTGCATGGCACACAAACAGAGCTAGGCGTAATTTGTCGTAATATACGTTGTCTCTTGGAGCAAATGGGTAATGGAAGTTGGCGGCATTGTCCCCGGATAACAAATGAAGTAGCGCATTTGTTGGCGCATGAGGAGACAAATTGGAACGAAAGAATGGTATGGCTAGAAAGGCCTCCTGCTTTTGTTAATGATCAACTTAGGGTGGACTTTGTATCGGTCCTGATTCATTAATAAAAGCCCCCTCCAGGTTTCTATTAAAAAAAAAATGAGAAGAAAGGTCACTATGGAAAGTGCCCCTCCAATTTGGAGGAAAAGGCTTGATTTAATGGGTTCTTTGTCAATTAATGAGTTGGGGTGTATAAGTTAATGTTATTAGATATATTTTATGTTATTATATCAATTGGATACCACATATTTTATGTAAAAATGAACGAAATATGTTCCATTAAAATAATAAAACTTGTCATCAAAATTATGAATAAGTTGGTTATAATAGTTATTCACAAATATGAAAATAATATCAACATATATTTTACTATTAGATGAGACAATTAATGAAACAATTATATATATAGCTCCAATTAGATGTTTATGTTTTTAGTTGCTATGTTTGTGAATGAATAAAATAGCGAAAAGAATTTTAATAATAGGTTGATAATTTTTTAAAAAATCATCTACTTTTGATTTTTAATAGTGAACAAAATTAGCATGAAAGTACAAATTTAATTCACATTTCATAAGAAATAAAATCATATCAACATATAATCAAGCTTTTTTACTATTATATACCCAATAAAATAACAATTTTCAATACACATTTTCCTTCCCACTTTCCTCCATCAAACACTATTTTCCTTCCAATTTTCTTAACCTCCAAATTATCCCTCCTCTCCTAATTTCCTTCCCCTTCCCTCCATTTTCCTTACTTCCTTCGGAAACAGAGGGTAAAACGTCTAGAAACATGGATCTCTCTATTACTCTTTCTGGGATTTTATTCCAAAGTAATCAAGTTCTTAAAAAAATTGTCAAGATGCGCTAGTTTTATAAAATATTCTCACGCTACATATGTATTGGTCAGCTCGCTCGAGAGTCTCGAGCGAGTTTCATGTGGATCGATTTGAACAAAAGCGAAACAGGATTGATCATTGTAGGGGGAGTGATGAACAATTGGTCACTATAGTCCGCAGCGATCTAGCTCCAAAATTGCCTGGAGACTCCAACGAGTTTCACCTTACAGAAATTAAAACTTCAAATGATCGGAACTTTGCACTCGATTATCTGACCGACGGAAGAAGAAAAAAATTATTTCGTATAACTGTGCTAGATCTTCGAATTTTCCAACCACAGTCATCGCAGAAAAAGTTGCTGCTGAAAATCAGTCAATTTGTTATTTCGATAAACTTCATAAAATCTTAACTTTGCACTCGGAATCAACACAACTTTTTTTCATAAGTTTTCAAAAACTACAACTTCTATTGTAGAAATATTTTCAAAATATATGTGAAAAGGTGAAAAATAAAAATATAATTTAACCCCTATTGTCCCAAAAAAATACCTTATTTTGAAAACTGCTCACTACAAAAAGTTGTAGTCCTTCAAAAGTTATGTGAAACCAAAGAAAATTTTGCCTCAATCGGAGGTCAGAGCACAAACTTAAGACCGTCCAAAGTTTAACGAAATCACAAAATAGCTTATTTGGGGTAGCAAACGACAAAGCTACAAAAATCTCCAAAAAGTTATGCAACATAAAAATTACGCCAATAAGATAACCGAACAAAGTGTTAAGTTGACTGAAATTCCAACGCATGTAAGGTGAAAATCACTTGTTTATTTTATTTTTATTTCCGAGTGATAACAAGAGACGACAAGAGTTATAAACCAAGTCTACCCAGGAACCCCTACAAACGAACCCCTAATGAAGCCACCCACGAAAATCAAAAGCCTCTCGTTCTAAGAAAGATAACAATAGTGCCTTACGCTCCACTCTATGGACAGCACTATTGGCGGCCCTAGAAAACGCCCTAAACTCTATACAAACTGATAAGGAATCTAGAACCTGACGACACTCCCAGAGCAGCGGACCTCCAGTGGAATCTTCTATGACGCCAAGATTGATCTGGTTGACAACCACCTCAGAATCACCTTCCACCACCACGTGGGACAAAGCTGTAGAAGTGACTAAGAAGATAGCATCTCTTGCTGCAAGGAGTTCTGTTAGGTAAGGTTTGACTATTTCTTGGTGACGCAGACCGGCTGCCACCATCACATGCCCGTCTGAACCGCGAACAACAAGACCTGACATTACACCCTAAGTCGCCAACTGCTGCATCGAAATTGATTTCAAAAGATTATATGGTGGAGGCATCCAAGTGGGAGGAGGATGGGTTGGGAGATACTTTCTAGGTAGCGAAGGAGGGGGGGGGGATCAAACTGGAAACTTCGAGGACCTGGTTGTAGAATTATCTAGCTAGAGAACGGATATGAGGTTGGTAAAATTAGAAAATCACTTTATTTCTGGACTTCCAGATTCTCCAAAGCAAGCAGACGCATTGAAGAATGAGGAATGGGGAGATCTCAGAGATCATGACATGTCGCCACCATAGACTAAAGTTAACAGTCGGGGCGGAGTCAATGAAGTTTCTCAATTCTACTAAGGTCCACAGCTTGGTGGCTAGGGGGCATATGAAGAATAAATGTTCAATGCTCTCTTTATGTCTCCAGCACACGGGACATCTGTTGAGGCAATTAACTCCTCGTGTTTGTAAAGCAACCAATGTAGGGAGAATGAGCTTAAGGCATTGCCATATGAAGAATTTAACCTTTGGAGGAACTTGGATGTTCCAAGTCTTTTTCCAGATTGGGGGATCGATAATAAAGACCATCGGTTTCCTATTTACAACCAGAGTTGATTCCAATGCTAGATGATAACCCGATTTGACCGTGCATTTGCCATCTTTGGTGTAGTGCCACACTCGAACATCTTGTTGTGGGAGACGAGGCAAAGGAAACCTTTTGATTAGATCAACAGATTGAGGCTCAAAGAAAACTTGAGGCCTTGGGATATTTCACTCCCCTCGGCCTTCTTCAATGAAATAAGAGACCATGGGAGAGCCATTCAGGTTCTGAAATCGTATATTTGGGACTGAAGTGATGTCTCCTGGAATACAAACATCAAAGAATGCCTTTATCTGTTGGTCGTCGTCTGTTTGCCATCTTAACCCTTGTGTGAGGAGGTCCCTTCCGAACAACAAACTTCTCCATCCCCGCGATGGATTGGAACTAATAGAGGCTTCTAAAATTGAGCATTGGGGAAAGTATCGACCCTTATATATCTGTGAGAGGGGAGAATTTGGATTAGTCCAGATTCTCCAACATTGTTTCGCTAACAGGGCTTGATTAAAAGCATCGAAATCCCTGAATCCAAGTCCTCCATGGAATTTACTATGAGCTAAATTTTTCCATGACAACCATTGGATCGGATGATCCATATTTTTTTACGTTCCCCACCAAAATTTTGTCACGTGACCGTTAAAACGCCTGCAATTTTCTTTGGGGAGTTTAAAACAAGACATCCCCAGTAGCGGTAAGTTAGTGGCTGATGATCTAATGAGAGTATCCTTCCCTGCTTTGGATAGGGAGCGTTGTTTCCATCCTTGTAATTTCTTGATCAACTTCTCCTCCACAAAGAGGAAAGTATCTCTTTTTTATCTTGAAAGGATTGCTGGTAGTGCTAAATAAGAGTCTTGTTCTCCTGTGCTCCCGACTCCCAACTGAGCACCCATGCTTTGTGCCTCATTCGGATCCGTATTCTGACTAAAGTGAATGGCGGATTTGTTTAAATTCACTCGTTGACCGCTCAACTCAATGACAGGAGAGAGTTGCAGTAATGCGGGGAAGCCGCTAAGAATAGATATGAGTCATCTGCAAAGAAAATGTGAGAAACCACCGGGCAAAGGGGTCTAAGCCTGATTCCTTCTAGGTATCCTAGGGATGTTGCTTTCCTTATCATACTTGAAACCCCTTTTGCACAGATGGCGAAGAGAAGGGAGGAAAGGGGATCGCGTCTTAATCCTCTGGATGGCCTGAAATAGTTGGATGGAGAACCATTAAGAAGAACCAAGTAGCTAGGATACTTTTGTGACACACTCTTTTACCCACGAGATAAACTTAGGATGAATGCCAAGTACTCTCATCACTTCAAAAAGAAAAGGTCATTATACCCGATCATATGCTTTTTCCATATCCAGCTTCACTGCCATCCACTTTTCTTTCTAGCTTTTGAAGTCTTGAGGTGATGAACCATCTCATGACTAATCAGAATGTTGTCCGAGATTAGCCGTCCTTTAATAAACCCGTTTTGAGATTGGGATATGACACTAGGTAGTAGCCTGCTCAATCTATTTGCCATGATTTTGGCGATGATCTTGTAGATTACTTGACATAGGCTTATGGGTCTTAGATTTTTCATGTTTCTTACATCACTGACTTTGGGTACCAGGGAAATCCAAGTACGATTGAAGGATCTTAGTAAACGACCAGAATGAAAGAAGGCTAGTACCACTTGAACGACATCTTTATTCGTTAATTCCCAATACTTTTGGAAAAATCATGCCGTAAATCCATCCGAACCTGGGGCTTGGATCTTCCCTATGCTGAAGACTACCTTCCCGATTTCATCGTGGGTTATTGGAGCAATAAGATTGTGATTTTGGGCCTCCTCTACCGTAGCTTCCAAAGGGATGTTGGATAAATCGATTTCTATCAAACCTTGTGAGTGAAATATATCTTTGTAATACTCCACAGCAATTTCCAATTTCTCATGTTCCGCAGTACACCATACTCCTTGAGTGTTTTCCAAGCCCCAGATTGTAGTTGCTTGACGACGAGTTGTGTTAACTATATGAAAGTATGATGTATTCTTATCTCCAACTCCAATGTGAAAATCACTTGAGTCTTCAGTGTTTTAGAGCCACATCGCTTTTGTTAGCAACAATTTACATAGATCGCCACCCCTGCAACGATCTAGACTTCATCGCTTTTGTCTAAAGCAATCGACATACAAATCGTTTGAGTCTCAAGCGATCTGGTTATTTTTATAAGACTTTGTATTTTGAGAATTTTTTTAAAGAACATATATACTTTGGAAAAAAAGGGGTTAATTGCATGGTTGGTCACTGAGATTACAAAAAACGTTCAAGTTTGGTCACTCGAAATATTTAAATCCATTGGTGGTACTTCAGATTACTCAAACCGTTCACGTTTGGTCACTCTCCGTCCAACTCCGTTAACTTTGACTGATGTGGCAGTCAACTCTCAAAGTTGACCGTTAACTTAGTGACGTGGCAACTAAAAAATTATTAAAAATAAAAAATAAATTTTTATATTTTCCACCTCATTATTACATACATTAAAAAATAAAAAAAATAAAAAACTAATACCCTACCCACCCAACCTCCACCGCCGCTTCAATCCTTTCCACATGGCGAACAGGAAGAGCAAGAAGAAGAGGATCGAGCTGGGGATCTCCTGTATGCTGAACATGGAAGCCTCCTTTGTCCTCGCCGTGCTCCGCCGCCCGACGGCAGACCCCACGGCGGCGCAATTCCTCTCTCAGGAGGAAAAAAACTCCGACACCGCGCTGTCGGCGCCGGCGAACCCTCTCTGATTACAAGGGATTTGCTCGGCGGCGGCGGCGGCAGTACTAGCTCCGCCGTCGGTGGGTCGGACGACAATGAGTTTCAGGAATTGGACCTCGACGTCCAAGTCCCCGCTGGCTGGGAAAAGCGCCTCGATTTAAAGGTACTAAAACCCCAAAGATGAAATTTCCTTCCTTTTCCTTTTCAGCTTCACTCATCCTTCGGGACCAAGCAGAATTCGGTCCCAATTCCGAATGTAACGTCGGAATTCAGGCTCTGTTTTCATTGCTCTGTTTTTTGGGGGCTAATGAATACCCATGCCTCTGTTTTCTCAAGAACTCCTTCTCCAAAGATAAACTACCCTTTTTTTTGTCAATTTAATTGATATTATTATTGTATCATTGAATGGTACGGTAATTGAGAATTGAGATTATAATCTTTGGATTTTGGTTTCTTTGAGAAGAAGTTTTGCATAATTAAGTCGGGTAGGAGTCATTAATGGCGGGGTTGGAAGATTTTTTGGGGGAAATCAAGTGGGTATTATAATGTGGAATTAATTTGCATGGGGAAAGAAAATTTCAAAGTCCTTGTTATTGAATTAATTTCGAAGATATTTATGAATTAATTTGTGGAGATACTCTGTTTTTGTTCATTTGGTGCAGACAGGGAAGATGTACTTGCACAGAAGCAAAGCATCATCAGCTTCGTCGTCCTCCTCCGACCACCACCGCCACAAGCTCAGCCAAACGTTCCCCAAGCTCCAGGATTTGAACTTCCTGCCGTCGCCGTCGAGAATCACGCTCAACCTCTTCGACGAGAGCAGCCTGGAGCTGAAACTGACCGCCGCGGTAGCAGCCAACTACCAAAGTGTCTGCACTCTGGACAAGGTCAAATCAGCGCTTGAGAGGGCGGAGAGGGATCCCGTACAAGCCGCGGTGGCGGGAAGGAAATGGTTCCCGGCGGGGGAAGTCGTCCCTGTCCCCTTCTTACTCGTCATCGTCGTCGTCGTCTCTGTTTCTGGCTTCAGGGGAGGAAGAAACAGAGGAAGCAGGTTCCCCTGTGGCGGCGGGATGCCCATGTGGAAAGGATTGAAGCGGTGATGGAGGTTGGGTGGGTAGGGTATTAGGTTTTTTATTTTTTTTTTATTTTTTAATGAATGTAATAATGAGATGGAAAATATAAATTTTTTTTTTTATTTTTAATAATTTTTTAGTTGTCACGTACGTCACTAACTTAACGATCAATTTTGAGAATTTATTTTTTTATTTTTAATAATTTTTTAGTTGTCATGTCACTAACTTAACGGTCAACTTTGAGAGTTGACTGCCACATCAGCCAAAGTTAACGGAGTTGAACAGAGAGTGACCAAACGTGAACGGTTTGAGTAAACTGAAGTAGCACTAATGGATTTAAATATTTCGAGTGACCAAACTTAAACGTTTTTTGTAATTTTAGAGACCAACCATGCAATTAACCCGGAAAAAAAGTCCCCCTTTTGTAGTCTGTAACTCATCTCCGATACTTGTGTCAAAACTTTTGCTTGCCAGATGCTGCAGATAAAAGGCCTACTTAATCTTTCCCTGTCCAGTCATGCATTACAAAATCAAACCCGCTAAAGCGAATTTTCTCGCCAAAACTCTCGTCTCTCTAACTGACAAAATCTGACACTGCCAAAAGACCAAGAGGTTGCTCGCGAGCCTCCAGTGAAACCTAGGGTGCCTCCTGCATAAACAACACATATATGACATTGCTGATGTAGCTTTATCGAAGGCGTCAGGGTATCTTATATCAATCATCCATGCCCTCACTGTCTTCACTTTCAATCAGCCCGTCTAAGGGTTCATTTTGATCGCTGTCTTCATCATCAGTCTCCATAGCATCATCTTCTTGTTCGTCATCACTTTCATCATTATCCTCGTAAATTATCGAAACTATTGGTTCATCTTCTTCAAGGCTATCATCGACAATCTAATTGTCCAGAAGACAGAATAACAAGAGGATAAGTTAAGTTATATCGTTTCAATAGAGGCAAGGTTGACAAATTGGTAATGCCTTGACTAAAAAATAACAAGTGGTTTAATACACAATAAAAGAGAAGCATACCCCTGCATATAATGAGTCTATGTGACTTGACAACTGAAGAGCCGACTGGAAGGTTGACACTCGTGAATCAATCACCTGTAGCAAAATAAGACAACCAAAGGTTTCAGCATACTCAAAGTGGATGAGGAAGCTACTAATGCAGGCCTAATGCACTCCCGCTATCACACCTGGTTCAAAGAGTTGAGAGACCGAAACGAGGACTCCTGAGACATTATTCCACTTGCATGCTGAAGAAGTAAGCTTCTCAACCATGGAATAGCGCAAGCAACAACTGCGCCCCTACAATAAATTTCAACAGAAGCTTAAGTTATATATGTATCGGGGGCTTTGGCCCACTAAAAACAAGGTTGTTCCCATAGCCTTCTTATAAGAACTTACAATATCTGAATCACAATTTGCACATAGCTCACAACCAATGTGCAACAAAAAAGAAAAAAGAAATGAAAAGATTCCTGTGTGGATTGTCAATGGCATGCATCAAGTAGACCGTTGGACTTCCAATTAACTATGAATCGCCACAAAAACTTGCCTAAATGCTATATGATACTAGGATCCCATAAGATGAGTAAGCAATTACCTGGCTTCGATTATAGTTACAAGAGAGTGTAACAGCTCGAGGACGTCCGCCATACTCAAAGTGGAGATTGATTTTGCAATAACCTACAACCATAAGAGTTTCATGATGATCAACCTCACAATCTTCCTTCGTAATAACAATCACTCCAGATGCCAACACAGAAAGTACAATTTTAAGAAACGAAGATCAAACAAAAAGCTGAGATCTTTTCCATGGTCAGTCCTAAAATAAAAATTATGTATCTATTGCATCCTTGCTAGCAAAACGAACAAGAGAAATACACGACAAAAAAGAAGGAAGAACACAGACCTTCTCATCTTGTGTATATAAGCAATCTAGGAGAAGTGAGCGGTCATCAGCGTGAAGTGCTTGCTTAAGCAGAATGTTGACAGAATCAGCACTTGGAGGTTTTTCACCAGGTACCAATTCTTGGTCCTCCCCACCCTTGGTTGCACCCTCTTTTAACTCTAAACTCTCAAGTTTCTCACCTATTGTTGGCTCAAGTGAATCATCATCTTCAACAAGGACTCCATCCACAGCTTCATTATGATCTATTGCAAAGGTTGCCATTCAGACAATGCCATACATACATAACCAGAGAACTAACATCCCAGAACAAAGGGAAAACAAAAACCTACTTCAGTTCCAAGCCTATGAAAATTCTAATCATAAATGCACGGGATGGGCAACATCCATAACACAATGGACGGAGATAGATCATGCAGTAACAGTATGGAGTCTAGCTAGTCCGAAATGAAGGGGCGGTAAGGGTCTACAAAAGAACAATGGCAAATCCAGAGTTCCGTCGACTTTCTCTCACAACAGAATGCATTACAATTTACAAAGTGTGAAGCAGGAATCACCTGAAGTCGCACGATCATCCAAGTGAGACGCTGCTCGTTTCTTCTTCGATTTCTTTTTCTCAACTGATACAGCTGAAGCTGTTACAACTGCTCCCGAACCCATATAATAGGTTTTATTAGAATCGGAAACTTTCGGCGAAGTGGTAGCTGAACCGATGAAACTTCGTTCTTGTCCGGCTCCTCCTCTTCGTTTCACCTCTGCTTGCCACGGCCGGAGATGGAACGGCGGAGTGAAGCGGCACGGAAGGGTACTTACTACTTACTAATTAGCGGCGATGGAGGAATCAGAAACCCGAGAAAGAGACTAATTTTGCACCGCGCAAAAATGCTCTTTCCCGGATTTGCTCATTTGAACGAAACCCTAAAAGTGGGCCGTAGCCCATATGTACCATTCATTAGCCAGATGCCCAGATCCAAAGCTACGAAAAACCCAAATTCAACGAAAAACTCAAACTTCAGTGAGGGTTTTCACTTTTTTACCAAACTGTGGTTTTCATTTATGGATATCCGAAAAGGACAACAAGATACCATATAATCTACATCTACACCTTTTATAAAAGTTGGAAGCCAAAAACCCAAAAATCATTTCAAATTTCCGACGCTCAGAGCGTTTCTAGGAAAATCATTTTGGTCTTCACAATTACTTTTTTTTATTCATTAAAAAGACACGTACTGGGATTCGAATCATGACCATTTTAAAGAAAAGCAAGGATAATAACCAATCACACTAAGGACATTTGTTGTATCTTTTTAAATTAAAAACATATAATAGCAGGGAGGAAAAAACCCTTCCCCCATTTCAAATTCCTTGCTCCATGAGCGTTTGTAGGAATGGTAGAATAGGGAGTGTCAATTTAAAGAAAAGCAAGGATAATAACCATGACCATGGCCATTTTAAAGAAAAGCAAGGATAATAACCAATCACACTAAGTACATTTGTTGTATCTTTTTAAATTAAAAACATATAATAGCAGGGAGGAAAAAACCCTTCCCCCATTTCAAATTCTTTGCTCCATGAGCGTTTGTAGGAATGGTAGAATAGGGAGTGTCAATTTTTTTTTCTTTCCTTTGTGGAACGGGCCAACTTACCGTACACATGCGAATTTAAACGGGTCTAGGAGTGTCAATTTTTTTTCTTTAAGCCCTTTTATTTCTCCGTGGTGATAAAATATATATGAAAAGGCAAAAATAATACTCCTTATTGTTAAAAATAAAAAATTTAACAATAAACTAATGCATGGTATCTAATGGGTTAACCGCTAACCATAAAATAAAAGAGTTGAATGGGTCTGACTTACATGTGATTTGGCCATCAAGTAAAACAAATGAACATCATTGGTTTATCATTCTAAAACAAGCTATTTTCTCTGACATAATATATATTATGCTATTATTTTAGATCTTAGTGGCTAAAATATAATGTATTTTAAAGTTATTCAATGGTTCAACCTCGACCAACCCAATTAGTCCAATTTTTATCATTTCAAATATGTGTTTTATAACTATTTGATATCATAATGATCAAATTATAGTGTATTTTATAGGAAATCTTTTGGTATTTGTTAGTAAAAAATTAAACATAAAGATCTATTTGGTTATTGTAAACATTAAAACGATCCTAAACATTTTCAGTTCCTTTTGAATTTCTATGGTTTTATTCCCGAATAAGTGATGTGAAAATGGCGAATTGTAGTCGTCTCTTTTCTTTCACTATTTTTTATTTTCAAATAGAAAGTTTAAAAGTAAAGAATAATTAAAATTTGGCACGGGTCGGTCAAACAGGCTGAATTTCAAGTTTTGGCCCGTTTGTTTTATGCATTGCAAATTTATTAGCATGTTGATGGAAATGGCTTGGAAAATAGACAATAAGTTGTACCTTTGCAGAAATGTCCTCAAATGTTTGAATGCTTTGTGAATCAGGTTCCGTGACTTTTGTGATGGTGTATGTGCTTGACGATTGCTCGATGTTGTACTGCTTAATTTGAGAGTAAATCTTTTGATTTTCCCTATGAGTTGTGATACCAGTTCTGGTGGTTGCAGCACGTTGTCGTTGTTGGCCTGTAAAAGTTGTTCCGCCGTGATGCTAAATACCTTTCTTTCTTTTTTAACAAATTGTGTAGTAGTGCTATGAAACAGACCTCCCATGAACGCTACGCCTATTATGGTCTATTCTTACTTCCGGTGGTGAGAAATTGTGAATTGAGAATCATATTCGCCTACCGCACTGTGTCTGACTGGTGGCTGCTTACTGTGCTCTCTAGAGTTATGAAACAGACTACCCATGAACGTTACCCTTAAGAGTCCATAACTTTGCGAAAAACCAAATTTAGGCAATCAAAGGTGGTGGATGTGTGATGATTTTTTATGGCTTAATTGTTTGTGAATTGGGTATCTGATCTTTGTATGATTAGAGGGGATGTTTGCTTAATAGAATAATCCATTTTAATTCATGTTTATTTTTAACATGAACTTTAGTAACTCAAAACCTTCGAGACACATATCACTTACTGCATTGTATCATTTTGCCTGGGTGCTTGCTGTGTTGTCAAACTTCTTTGCTGCTGCTGCATTTACACTAACAGGGGAGTTAAGAACCCCATGAATGTTTCCGTTTGACACAAACAGGAGGACTTGCTTCTAAATCGTGCACTAAAGATGATTGGAGGAAACATCTTTGTTGCAGTTGATATACTGGAGACCAGAACAAAAGCAACGTATAACATCAAAACCAACCATCTGAACTATTAGCATTGTTGCTTTACTCTTTTTTAGTGGTTGAGTCTCCTTCAAAAAATTTAGTTTGATTTTAGAAAATTTTGCTTCTGTGGTCCTGTCTTGCCACCAACGCGTTCAGTAGATGGATTGGCAGATTGCCTTTGGTTCTATTATCATTTGGCTGGTTGTACGGATGTGGTCATCTTATGTGATCTTGTTGCTATGTTTATGTTCCTGGATGGTGAGGGTGACTCGCTATGACACAACACCTAACAATGGCCAAGTGTAACCAATGAAAGGGACTGCAGTATAGTGGCTCAAGTAATAAATATCGAATCCACGGGTCTCTAGAGTTACTATTACTCAGCTTCAGTTTATTATTTAGCAAACCAGATTAATAAGGAAGAACTAAAACTACTCTAGCAAACTACAGTTAAAGTCAATCTAATTACAGGTTGGGAACTCACTTAGGTATGATTCCCCCTAGCCACTAGCCAGACTAATGATTGATGATTTCTAACTTGTTTCACTTTCATTCACAATGCGGAGAATCCTTGACTAGACCTTGAGTCTCGACTAAAGGAACAAGGCCCTCTTGAGTCAATTGCCTAGAGGGACGTATCCTTCTCTAGAACAACCGATCAAGGCGTTCTGAACTAGATTCCCTCTATCGAATGAGGTTCTCAATCAATACAAAGCAGTGAATCAACCCTCGACTAAAGCAATCGATCCAATACTATCAATCTATGGTGCTCTATTGACCTAATAAGGTATTCGCTCTCATAGGATCAAAGCAGAATCAATAATCTCGACTAAAGTAGAATTGAATCATGAAAACATGCATAGATTGAATATGAACTCAAGATTATCAAGTAAGAGTACTCATACAATCATCCAATCAAACAAACATAGCTAGGGTTCCTCAAAACCTAAGTGAAGGGAAGTTACTCCATAGAGAAGAGAGAGACTGCAGTAAGAATCTTCAGATGATCAGTCTTCAAGTCCGGGCTTGTTCCTCGAGCTTCCAAGGCAAAGAAATCCTCCAATTTCACTCCAAAAATGTCCTCAAATCGCCCTCTCTCTCTTTGGTTCGTCCCTTGGGTGTTTGGGATCCAAAACCCAGCTCCCTCTCTCCTTTGGCTCGAATTTGGGTTAAAAACCCGATTCTGGGAAAACACGGTCGAGGGCACGGCCGTGTTTTGCTTTTGCCCGCCCGTGTTTTGCCCCGTGTTAAAAACACGCCCGCGCGCATCGGCCAAAACAAGGTCGTGCCTAAATATGGACACGGCCGTGTTTTGATTTAGGCACGCCCGTGTTTTTACTGCCGAACCTGTTCCCCTATATTCAATGCTTCGTTTCTCCCTCGTCCGGACTCCGAATCAGTCGCCGTTTGATCCCAGACGCTCGTAGTCTCATCCTCTTTCTTTTCACGACAAGCTTGCATGATTATTTGTCCATAAAGTGAGGTAGAAATCCATTCTTCTTCAGGTCATGCCCGAGTTTCTTCTCCCTAATCGCCAATTGATCTCTAATTGACTTGAAACTTGCGCCTATGCTTCACTTTATGTGCTAGGACCTGAAATGTGACAAAGGAACACAACCTAGCGTAAAATAGGCCAAAGACACGATAATTAAATCTCAAACAGTCAAGAAACAAAGGGGAAAACATGTGCAAATATCGAGTCATCAAATCCCCCCACACTTAATTGTTTGCTTGTCCCCAAGCAAACCTAACTCAAACCAATGCAGCTCTCCAGACCTCTATAGCAACATACAACCCCGATCGTCGGTAGAGGATTTCCTAGATCATATAGCAGCTTACGAGGTCAACTGGTCTTCTAAGACGTTCTCTATCTCACTCAATACGAGTACTAGACTCAAGTCAGAACCATGAGAAGAAGTAGAAGTAAGACAGTCAGTTCATGGATAAAGGGACTCACACCATTCACAACCAAGGACTCGTTGTACCAGGGCAGGGTGCTCTTTCACTTCATTTCACCATTGGAACCCCTTTTTCACTTTCATTTTTCTTTTTTTTTTCTTTTTCATTCACTTGGCGGGGGTTCCAACTGCAGTCTTTTGCACGGTTGACCCTTATTAGTCGAGCAAGAGCAATTTCTGTACATCTGGCGCTCGCCAGAGTACTACTTTTAACTCCTTTTCCTCAACTCGTGTGGAGGGTTAATGAAATTAAGGGGGGTCGGAAGCTCTATCCGTGCCCTTAAAAACACATCCTCAAGTAGGCAAACCGTTCAACGGGTGGAAGTTTTACTTGTACTAGAGACAGCTTAGCTTCACCTTGTAGGAGTACCCCACTAAGGATCACTAAAATCTCATCCAAAACCCGATTTCGTGCAATGAACGGTGCCGCACACGTTGGGCTTACCCCATGCTTAAGATTTAATGATTTCGACATGGAGGACCAACTGCTTTTCATTTCCTACATGAGCACCCTGTTCGATACACGAGTCCATAACACAATCCAAATAGAGTCACCATTACCACATGAATTCAACGGTCCTAGCTCCACTAATTCACAAAATCAACTAGCACAGCAGAGAGCTAGATAGAAAAAATCGTATACTTCAACATCCTCCATAGTGCTACACTACCTCCCTAGGTTGCACATTACTATAGAGACTATCA